CCACTGTGATGGAAACGGAACTCTCACAAATGCCGCTTTCCTTGTGCAAGTCCAGATGAATTTTCTTCTCACAAATAAGGAAACTAGTGGGCACACATTACATCTACTTTGATCAGTTCATGAAACTTATTTGCGGCGCGTTTTAGCGTTGTTAAATATCCATCGACGATACTTTACGCAAGCTTTAGAGGACCAGCCCAATGACCTCCTGAAGCATAAGTACGGCCCCTCGGTCATGGCGATGTATCGCTCTGCGTGGCGAGTGATAGAAAGTCACTCGCATGCAGTTAGGAAGATTCCGCAAGTGATTGAGCGGTTGGGTCTTTTCTGGTCACATGCTTTATCCGCCGCTGTGAGTAGCCCTATTCGACTCGATACTTGAAGTGCGTGACGATGTATATCATAGATCGTCATGTGCATGATCGTCAACCGTGCTCCTCAATCAAACATAGCGTCTTCTTCATTGCGCGAGCTGGATGTAGTCTACGATGTGTTCCAGAAGTCAGCGCCAACCTCAAAGCCTGCCGCTGTGCTCCTCGTAAGCATCCTCTCTATATATTCCATGCAGACCCCTCATCCTGTGTCCAGGACTCAATAACAAAAGTATGGAAAAAGGGCCACGATGCTGTTGATCGCCCTCTATATGATGATCAGTCCAGCTTATCCCGTGCTGAGCTCGATCGCCTTGGCGGGGGCAAAACTCATCTAATATCCAAGACGACTCCTCGATCCAGCGCCTCGCCACCGTCTGTGCATTCCTCACCATCAGAAGCTGGATCAAGCGGCTCGTCCCAGCCGAGCAGACAATTCACATGGGACGGGCAGGGCGTCGGGTTCGATATACACCCACGCATCATGCAGGACATGCGCGTCTTTGACAAGTTTGAGCAATCGCCGTTCACTGCGGGCGGATCTTTTGACTCGTCTGAGTCTTTCTTCCAGGCGATGAGCGACGTGCAGTTTAGCGGGTCGAGTGTGTATGGGGCGGAGATTTATAGTGGACAGCCGCAGGTGTTGAATACGTTTCATCCGGCACACCCGTATGGCGCGCCGAGTGGGATGCATGAGGCGCCAGTGCTGGATGCAGCGTGGCAGAACTTTGTGGAGCAGCTGGGGTTTTGATGGCTTTCCGACTTGGTAACTTATTACGACTGATTTCTATCCGTTTGCTGACTCCAATCATCTCCCCGGTATATGTCGATATTTATGTAGTGTTTTAATGTTCTACTATTTTTAGGTATTACTTTGTGGGGTTATGTATATCATCTTTCAGATTTACCAACAAATCCGCGATTCTGCAAGTTGGCTGAGGCTAGCGAGGCGTCAGGGATTTGGGGCCATTCTACGTAGTGTTAGCTTGTCCTGTACGAAATAAGACTTCTATTAATTTTTGTTAGCGCCATGTAATGACTGTGAGAGCCGTTTTTTTCGGAAATGTCTGTCAAACATTTGGGGACGTCCCAAGTTGCATGGCAGGCTGTGTGAGGCTGTACAGCTCTGTACGCATGAGCTTCAAGCTGATGATGCGTCTTATGATGTATTAGTAGTAGTATATATGACTAGCAATGCTACTCACTCCGTCGTAGTACAACCCCCATCATTTTCAAGTTCGCCATGGCTTTCATCCAGCTGGATACTGCTTTCCTCGTATCATCAGCGCTGGTAGGCATTTTATATGGTGAGTATCGCAATGAGTTTTCCCGTCCTATACCCACTAAACAAGCATTCTTCAGGCTTTTCAGTCCTTATGTTCATAGGTACCATATGGACATTCACCTACAAACGTCGCACGCGGAGCGTCAATCACCCAATGGCTGCGGTTGCCACCCTGTTATTCTTACTGAGTACCGCGGTTATTTGCTTGCTGCCTTCATCCGATTCCATCTACTGAAGTCTCACAAGGACATGGTCCTAGTTATCACTGAAGTAGAAGATGGACTAGTGAAATATCGTGATACGTTCCCAGGCGGGCCAGAAGCATTCTTCGAAGACTTTCTACAAGGAACGTTCATAGCCAAGAATGTGATATACACTTTGCAAACTCTTCTTGGCGATGGGGTAGTGGTGGGTTTATTTTTTATCTGTCAATGTGAGACCCCTCGTGGCTTATAGGACCTGCCTTTCTGGCAAAAGATTTATCGATGTTACGTCCTTTGGCAATCTGTCTGGGTTATCATCCTACCCTGCATGCTGTGGTGCGGTATTGCAGGTTAGTTTGCAATATCGGGAAGTTGTGCGCTTTGACATTGTCTCGAAGCCTTTGGTATTTGTTGGGTCTACGTACCGAGGAGTGGCTCCCTACCAGGCCTATTCAATGAGACTATCTTTGCTAGCGAGCTTGGGATTTGGATCACGGCATTCTTTGCCTTCACCCTCACAAGTTATTTGTTCAGTTCAGGTAAGCAAACCCCTGCGTGTGGACGATGTTAAGGCCCCATACCAATCTAAATGTTTCCAGGACTAGTGGTATATCACATTTGGGCGATCGAACGCAAGGTTTCTGCAGTTCGTGTTACGAAGCGCAAAATGCCTATATTGCGGGTGCTTGTGGATGCCACTATCTTGTACTCCGCGGCGCTCTGCCCTTTTATCATAATATTCTACGCCCACTCGTATGCTGTGTTTTTTGTTATGGGAGACATGGTAATTATGCTGTTCATGACTTGTCTATTATCGAACATACTGAGCCTTTATCAACTAGCTCGTTCAGATCATCTCGATTGTCTTCTACATGGTGTTTATTCGCATCGCAATCAGTAAACACGCCCAGGATGGAGAGATCAGCGCAGAACAAAGAACCACGTTGCAATTTCGTATACAATCTTCGCAGAATGATATGCCCTCCTGGCCAACAGCCCAAAATAGCGATATATACACCGCTAGCGCTATTGTCATCAAACCTGGTATAAATCCTGTTCGTGCTGCCATCCTCCCGTTTATTTACAGCTTTCAAACAGTGGTCACCTCACTCTGAGTTCAGGAAGCACGAACACGCTGATTTACTTTACCCTGCAGTGCGGTTATGAAGGTCTGATGGTTGTGCAGAAAATTTGCGATTACTAGCTATGACCACCATGAATTTTTTTTTGTGTAAGCCCACTGACTGTGACTGCCAGACATATATTGCCCGTACAAAACATTTTAAATCAATGTATTGGAAGCTTGGCCCTCGCATCTGCAGCACACTAGCACATGACGAATAGAAACCACACTATCATAATTCTAAACAATACAGCGCGATATATACAACGCATAATGTCTACCCAAAGTCAATAACCAAGTCTCTAAAAAGAAATGATCGTGCAAATTGTATGCTATGAGAGTAATTCACATGTTCATTAAATCCTCAATGCGTAATTGTCTACGCGTTGCTGATGGACTCGTGGAGCAAGAGTCCAGGACGAACTGTGAAGGTGGGTGTGCCACAACAGCTTCACGGCACAGAATTAGGGGAGCATTCTGTTGCGAAAGTAATAAAAGAGGTCCCATAAAGGGGTTGTCGATCATGCTGTGAAAAGGGAGTGTTAAAGGGTGAGAGCTAAGATAGCGCGAGCCTCAGTCTATGGTAAAGAGACTGAGGTGCAACGAGGGCTTCTGGCTGCCTTAAGTAAAGAGAGAGAAAACAAACGTAACTAGGTAAGTGACGTGCAATAACAGGGGGGATATATACATTGACAGACGTGATATTGGAATGACACCGGGTCGGGTGCTCTGACGGATCACCTCTCAACAGGGAGCAGTAAGTGGGTGCAACAGAATGAGACTGGATTGGAGCTCAAGCCGAGCATAGAACATGCAACTCGGAGTAGTGATGAAAGGACGAAAGTGGCTCTTTTCGTGCCGTTGTGTAGATCTCTTTCTTATGCTTTAAACTTGCGCAGAATATCAAAGAATCATACCAATCACATTATAAGTACCCTCGAGCTCTGCGACTTCTGATCGCCGATCATTGCAATGACTGATCGGACAATATTCCATTCTCCAATATCTTCAGCATGCATCAGGCCTTCAGGGTCGATATCATGTTGCAAGGCTGATGCATTCAAGACCATGGAGTTGATGGAGCAGAGAGAGAAGAGGGGGGAAGAGAGTTCCCATGAACATAGATGCGCACGCCACAAGATGATATATGTGTCTAGATGACTGGATCCAAGGGACTGAAAGAAAGACGGAACTCACCCAAATCCACGCACCAAGGCAAAAGCAGAATTGCGAAGGATGACATGCACGGAGGATTGCGAAGCCGGGCAAAAGGGCTCAGACAACTACCATCTTTTTATTTGGTGACCTAGTGGAAACTAGCGACCGGGAAACGGATATAATATATCACCTAAGGAGGATTTGGAATTATCCAGCCTGTGTACCAACGGCTGCATAGGATGTCGCTGCAAATTTCTCCGTTCTGTCTCAGTGACACTTCTACAGACAGTCGAGAGGTAATGTTGACTGTTTCGACTGGTCGCGATGCGAATAAATACCATGTAGAAGGTAATCGAGACAATCGGGACGGTCTAGTTGATCGTCAATCAGTGATTTGAGATGACAAGTTTCAACAGCGGAATTACCAGGTCTCCCATCACATATATTCCATGGCTCCAGAGGGAAAAACAAATTATTGAGGAGCCAAGCACCGCAGAGTACAAAACAGCAGCATCTATAAGTATGCGCAATATAGGTACCCTGCGCTTTGCAGTGCGGATTGCAGAGACCTTGCGTTCGTTCATCCAGATGCGATACGCCAGTAATCCTGGAAGAAATCAGGTTGGTATGGGTTTCAACATCACGTTTACGCAGAAATATGCCCACCAGTACTCAACGCATTAGTTGCAAGCGTGGGGGCAAGGAAAGTAGCGACCCAATGACCAATCCTGCTAGCGAAGAAATTTTCGATTTCGGCAACTGACGCTTGAGAAAAGTAGTAGACCGAACAAACACCAGACGCTTTGAGACAATATCAGAGCGCACGATTTCCTAGATATGAGTGCAACCTAACCTGCGACACCACACCACGTCATGCATGGCAGGATGATAACCCAGGCGGATTGCCAGACGACGTAACATCGATAAATCTTTTGCCCAAAAGGGAGGTTCTATAAGACAAAGAGGGTCTGAAGCTAGTACATGAAAATTTAGCGCACCACCACCCCGTCGCCAAGCAGAGTTTGCACGTTATATATCGCATTCTTGATTACAAATGTATCTTGGGTGACGTCTGTGAAGAACGCCACTGGCCCGCCAGGGAACGTATCACGATACTTCACCAGTCCATGTTCGACATGAATAATGACTACGATCATATGCTTTTGAGGCTTCAGTAGATGTCATTGGATACAGGAGGAGAAGCTAACCGCAGTGCTCAGCACGAACAGTAGGGTGGCAACCACAGCGATTGGCCGATTGATGTCCTGCATGTGTCGTTTATAGCTGAATGTCCAGATGGTGCCTAGACACATGAGGACAGAAAATCCTGAAGAACACTAGCGAGTCGGCCACCTGGCTATGGGGCAGGCAAACTCATTGTGATACATACCGTATAAAATACCTTCCAGAGCTAATGACACGACGGCAGCAATATCCATCGGGATGTCTGCTAATGAAACCATGGCGAAACCGATGCCTGGGGGATGTATGACGGTGTTGGTAGCTTTGCTGGTTCCACCTATACTGTTATATAGTAGAAACGGCCGCTCAAATCAGAGAGCGGCTGGTTGTGCCGGTGCATATGTGCTGTGGCAATTTGGCAAGTTTTAGTTTTAGTTTTAAAAATACTTGAACCAAGACATTGCATCAGGCAGATGGCACCCTGTGACTTGCTCCTTGTGAACCTATTTCCTGCACAAGGCATTAGATGTAGTCTTGAAACATGATGTGTGTTGCTAATCTAGAAGAATGACAATATTGTGTTTTCTGTTTCATCATGGCAGTCAGAACAAGTTGAAGTGGCGGAGGATAATGTCACATCTTTGTTCTGCTACTTCCCATACAATTAATAGTACATCGATCATAATATTCGCGCCAAGTGACGAGTCTCGACCATCTTCATTCGCATACATTGATGGTCTGCCTAGCCTAAGGTCCTAGGGAAGACTAGTCAGCTCGCCTTGTCGCTACATAGTATTATACCGCATTATACAGTACCACACAACGACCAGGTGAGCTGTGAAAACCCCTTTGCAGCGCCTTGTTTGTCCACATGGACACTGTTGTGACGAATGTACTATTAATATTGAGATGCCGGGTGACCACGCGAGCCGCACTATAGAGCCAGGCAGACTCACGGGGGACCAGGCTAGCGCTGAGAGAGTCAGAGAGACCCAGGGAGTATGACAGCCATCTCGTCAAATTGCAATTGTGTATCTTTGAACTTCGGGCCAGTCTACACTAAGGGAGACCTCATTGACGTATATGATGAAGTTGAAAGCGCGACTGGAAGTTAACTGTCACCTAATTATCTAGGTAGGTAATTATGTAATAATTTCAAGCTTCTCGGCCGCAATGAACTTGACAAAGTTCAAATCTTTACCTTCCAAATCTCTGAATGATGTTTCGAGCTGTTTCGACAGTACATAGATCCGATGGTGACGGCGAGATGTCTGCCGGCTATTAATATCAAACGCTATCCTCAGGGCGCATTTCTTTCATACTTTCTCCAAGTTGAGTCCAGTGGTCACTTCGATGACTCAGAAGAGTCGCTACCCTCTACTGAAGTATCAAGCATGAAGCTCTTGCCCTGTAACCAATTGTTTCGTTGGATCTGAGCATGTATAGGTGGTAAAATGTCAAGTCAAAGCTGTGCATTAAGCATGTTCAGATAACAGCTTCACTGATTTCACGAGAGGACCAGAAGCGCTGATATAAATAGTACCCGTCTCCACCTGATGAATGCTGATTTAGGATCTTCCAGATGATCATCATGACAGTTTAAGTTCTGCTAGAATTATGATATACACGGGGCTGGACATGGGACCGGCAAATTTGCTAGCCCCTCGTACATCGCCAGGGTATCATCTTTGCCATGACTTTTGCAAAAGGCATCCCGCTGGATAGCGCTGCGATAATGTCAATAGTGCTGGAAAGCATATTATACGGTGAGTATCTCAATGAATTTGTCTATCCCATACCCATGAAGACAACGCCCTTTAGGCTTTTCTGTCCTAATGTTTATTGGCACCATCTGGGCGCTGACCTACAAACGTCACATGCGGGATGTCAATCGCCCAATCACTGCTGTTGCCATCCTGCTGTTCGCACTGAGCACTGCGGTTAGCTTCTTGCCTTTTTACATCTCATGTCATATGCTGAAGTCCTCCAAGCACATGGTCATAGGTATTATTCGGACTGAAGAAGGACTGGAACAATACCGTGACAACTTTCCAAGCGGGACAGAGGCATTCTCCGCAGAAATCTCCCGAGAAACTTTTGTGATCAACAATACAATAGTCGTTTTGCAGGCTCTACTTGGCGATGGAGTGGTGGTGAGTTCAATTATATATCTACCATTTTGAAATTGATATAGAAGAGATTTTGGATAAAGATTTATCGTTGTTATGTCGTTTGGCAAACCGTTTGGGTTATCATCCTATCCAGCATACTGTGGTGCAGTGCCGCAGGTTAGGTTTCAAATACACACAGCAAGTCGCATGCTCTGATGTTGTCTCGAAGTGACCGGTGGATACTCGATCTACAGCGTCTCGCACACAACTAGCATCTCCGGACACGTCTTCAGTAAAGCGACTCGCCTATGGATCGCAGCGTTTTCTGTCTTGACAATCGTGACTAATTTGTTGAGTTCAGGTAAGCGCACTTCAACTTGTACCTGGTGTTATATCATCATACCAACCTAAATTTGTTCAGGATTACTGGCGTACCGCATCTGGAAAATCGAACGCAGTGTCACTAACAGCCGCACTACGAAGATCACCACGACGAGTATACTACGTGTGCTTATGGATGCTGCTATTTTATACTCCATGGCGCTCCTCTGCACATTAGTCGCCATGGTCTGCTCAAACGATGGCTCGCTTGTTATGATAGACGTGGTGATTCCACCGATAGCATATATCATTGAAAAGTACTGACCTTCGATCAACCAGCTCACACCGATCATATCCATTACTTTCTACATGGTGATTATTCGAATCGCAATGGGTAGAAAAAATCACGGTCATATTTTGACTGTCCGTGGAGGGTCGACCAGTGAGACGGATCGGGGAAACTTGCAGCACTATACTCTGCAGCCTTTGCAGGTACATATATCTCGATTTACGCACACTGACGGTGCCTCAGTGTACAGAAATGGGAGGCAGGACCGACCATCGACAGGCAAGGAGGTGTTTGTAGAGGGGGCATCTTGCACCGTGTAATCGGATGAACATAATAATTCCGTATAAAAATTAATTGTATTTTTGAGAGTACCAGGCAATAATTCATAGCGCGATATCTTGAACAACTCACAATTTGTATGTATACCGCGTCAGTAATCAATCATTTGCTTCGTTTGATGTGGAGAACAGAACTAGAGTCTCTACAAACTCAACTTACTGTAGGAAATAAAGTAATTGAAATGAGATTAGATGCGATAGGAATGCATTGGTAGCTGGTATAGCAAGAGTTACTCTGTACCCACTGCCGGTCAAAATCGGTCTATAAGCAGAAACACAGCTGACTACTTCCTTGCTCTCCAGTATTGGTCCTGATCTACCCTGTGGATGGTTGTCGTGATTCGGCATTCGATGAGGGGGTAGAAGGAATATCGTCTCTATAACGTGTCTAGTCGTGTATGCCATTATGGTGATAGTTCAAATGAGCATGTGGGACAAGACATGCAAATCAACTATGCGTTTTCGTGTATCAATGGGGCTGGTTGACCAGCGGTACCTGATTTGTACGCATAGTAAGAAGAGGGAATGCACGAAACTATTTGGCTAAAACCTGTAGCCTTTTGACCCGAAACTCTAGCATGGTTTCAAATCCATGCAGAAAAGTCCAGGAAGAAACATGAAGCTTTGAAGGCGGACGGGCCACGGCAGCTTCGCAGTGCAGAATTTGCGAGACATTCTGCTGCCGAAAGTGATACTACCAGATCAAAGAGGTTACCGAGTAAAGGGAGGGAAGGGATTGAAATGAGATGCATGCTGTGAAAAGGGAGCAGTAAGGACTTGGAGGCAAAACAAAAATGGGAGCTCGAGTCGATCAGTAAAGATTGCAAATCAGGAGTGATGGCAGTACAAACGAGACACGAAAAGCTGTGTCGGTGTATTCTACATTTGTTCTTGTGCCGTGAACTTACATAGAATATGATACAAGCATCATACTGAGGTTATAAATTTCCTCGAGCTTTGTGACTTCTGATTGCTGCAATGACTCGCCAGACAACATTTCATGGGTCATTTTCCTGCCATTAGGAAAATAGGTAGGGAAAAGGATGAACTCGCGAGAACTAAGCAATGATAGAATGATGACTGAAGTACTGACCCTCCAAGGTCATAATCATGTCCGGTGTCAGAAATTCTCGGAATCGATGTGTTTGAATTTTACCGATGCGCCGGGCTGAGTCGAACTGGAAGCCATGTCGGTTGTATTTGCCAGACACTGGCAGTTTCAAGTCGGTAAGTATGTTAGTTGTTTATGTAGATGTGGATGTGGATGTGGATGTGGATATGGATATGGATATGGATATGTTCAAGTGACCAGACGTCGAGCGAAATTCGAGTTGAACTCGTTCGACAAGAGACGATATGTTCTGCCTGCAGGATAAGCTACTGGTATCAGTTTGTTAGTGCAGAATACTCAGATGTGATGTTCATGTGATGTTGGCGATCTCCACTCACATTCTCGTAGGGATTTACAAGTGGACGGAACAAGGGCGCTGTAGCAGGGAACTGCAATGGGACCATCGAGTCAGCTGTGAAGAAACAGATGAAAGAAACATACGTCCATGTGATTACGAGCCTTGGTGCAAATGGGACGAACTGTGTCTGTAAGAGAAGAAGGGAAGAGTTTACATAGAAAGCCAAGGAAAACGGGTGAATTGTTAGCAAACGTTGCTCGGCATGACGTGTTGCGTCAGATCAGAATGCCATTCCGAAGTAGATCGGCAAGGGTGGGAAACACAAGTCCATCAATTAAGCTTTACCAGTTTACCTTTGAAGTTCTAAATCTTCCAATCAGCAAGTACATAGATCCGATAGCGACGGCGAGATGAGTCTACTAGCTATTACATAATACCAAACACTGTCCTCGGTGCGCATTTCTTTCATACCCTCTCCAAATCCAGTCTGGTGGTCACTTCCGACTCACTTGATGAAGAGTCGCTACCCGACTCGAATATCAAGCACGTAGCCCTCGTCCTGTAAGCAACCGTTTCATTGGGTCTGAGCACATGTGAGTGGTAACACTTCAGGTCAAAGCTGTACAGCAAGCACGTTCAGATAACAGCTTCACTGATTCCGCAGTCAATAACAACAGAAGCGCTGAATATAATATCCGCCTGGACCTCATGGATGCTGATTTAGGACTTTCGAAATGATTATCATAATAGTCTAAGTCCTGCTAGCATTATGATATCCACGGGACTGGACACGTTACTGGAAAATTTGCCATGCCTCATAATCGCCAAGTCTCGTACATCGCCAGGGTATCATTTTTGTCATGACTTTTGCAAAGGGCATCCCACTGGATAGCGCCGCGATAATGTCAATAGTGCTGGAAAGTATATTATACGGTGAGTATCTCAATAACTTCGATCGTCCTATACCCATCAAGATAGCGCTCTTTAGGCTTTTCTGTCCTGATGTTTATCGGCACCATCTGGGCGCTGACCTACAAACGTCACATGCGGGACGTCAATCGCCCAATCACTGCTGTTGCCGTCCTGCTGTTCGCGCTAAGCACTGCGGTTGGTTTCTTGCCTTTTACATCTCATGTTCCATGCTGAGGTCCTCCAAGCACATGGTCATAGATATTATTCGGACTGAAGAAGGACTGATACAATTCCGCGACGAGTTTCCTGGCAGGCCGGATGCATTTTTCGCAGACATCTCCCAAGAAACCTTTGTAATCAACAACACAATAGTTGTTTTGCAAACTTTACTTGGCGATGGGGTGGTGGTGAGTTCAATCGTATATTTACCACTTTGAAATTGATATAGAAGGGACTTTGGATGAAGATTTATCGTTGTTACGTCGTTTGGCAAACCGTCTGGGTTATCATCGTACCCAGCATACTGTGGTGCAGTGTCGCAGGTTAGGTTTCAAATACATATAGCAAGTCGCATGCCCTGATGTCATCTCGAAGTGACCGGTGGATACTCGATCTACAGCTTTTCCCATACAACCAGTATCTCCAGAAGAGTCTTCAGCCATGCGACTCGCCAATGGATCTCTGCATTTGCTGGCTTGACAATTGCCAATAATTTGTTGAGTTCAGGTAAGCGCACCTCTCCCTGTTCCTGGTGTTATATCCTCATACCAACCTAATTTTGTTCAGGGTTACTGGCCTACCGCATCTGGGAAATCGAATGCAATGTCGCTAAAAGTCGCACCACGAAGATCACCACGACGAGTATACTACGCGTGCTTATGGATGCTGCTGTTTTATACTCCATAGCACTCCTCTGCACATTAATCACTCTGGTCTGCTCGAACGCTGGACCGCTCGTCATGATAGAACTGGTGATTCCACCAATAGCATATATCATTGAAAAGTACTGACCTTTGATCAACCAGCTCACACCGATCATCTCCATTGTTTTCTACATGATAATCATTCGAATCGCAATGGGCAGAAACCATCACAGTCATATCTCGACTGTCCGTGGAGGGTCGACCAGTGAGACGAATCAAGGAAACTTGCAGCACTATCCTCTGCAACCTTTGCAGATACATATATCTCGATTTACGCACACTGATGGTGCCTCAGTGTACAGAAATGGAAGGCAGGACCGACCATCGACAGGCAAGGAGGTGTTTGTGGAGGGGGCATCTCACAACGTGTAATTAGATGATTCATGAATAATGACTGCACGTGATAGTATCAGTAGTACGATGTCTTTTTAAATAACTTATTATATATATACTGGGTTGACGATCGTTTTATTTGCTCCGTCGGATGTGGAGAACAGACTACAAACTCAACTTGATGTAAGCAATTACGGTGATTGAATCAGATTAACGCAGTCGGAGGTTGGGAATGCAACGTGATGCATCTGTAATCGGTATAGTGGGGGTTGGCGTAGAAAGCTGGGGAAAACATGTTGCGGGTGATCAATTGTAACTCTTAGTGGGCGGGGGACGAGAGACATGACCGATATTGCTGGTTTACGGCGCACGGAATGACGTGCTGCGTCCGACTCTAATAGCATGTAGTGGTGTAGATGAGTAAAAGAGCGGGATCACATACTTTAAGTAGCTTAACGAGGAGTCCGCTTGTCTGCAAGATATTTCAGCACCGGGCAAATGGTGAATGGGTGAAAACATACCTCTTGCAAAACCGATGCTAACGAGGATGCTGGCTGGAATGTTGCATACGTAGATAGATATTGGTCTCATCCCGGGTCATGTAAGCCAGTTGGTATTGAGACTCAGAGAGGCTCGGACTAGGAACGACGAACGAGAACGAAGGCTTTAGATTCAGTGAAACGACTAGAGAACTATATTCGACGAGGAGAGGTCTTTAATACCATGATTGAGACGGAGAATCAAAGGGGAACGTGTATCAGGCGTGTAGTGAAGAGTGATTGCATATGTAAAAGGAAAGGAAGAGTACGTACGAGAGTGACGTCGATAGTTGTATCTTGACAGTTGGCATGAGTCGGATGAGTATGAGGGAATGTGGAGCTCGAACGTCGAACGAAGTGGGACTCGAAGGACCAAAGCTTGATGGTCTCGTCGTCGGAAGCACTGGCGAGAAAAACACAATCAGATGAGAGTGCTAGATCGGTGACAACGTCGGTGTACCCTTTGAAGGAATCTCGGACAGTCTTGAGTGTCTCCCTAGATTCGATATAGCCATCATATACCCTGCACACATGAAAAAAATCGGATGGTCTCTCGCTCTCGCTTTAGTGGTAGGGATCTCATGACAAGTATTAATTCCTAGAGGTGAGTCGCTACTCTTCAATCCTCCTCGCTCAGTCATCAATGCGTCATGGTTCCATGGTTGCGCAGCACACACCATCACTTCAAATTAGCTTTCAAGTCTGCCAAGTTGTCAGCATACTCAGTCTCGACGCGTCTTGGCCCACCCCATTCCATCGGGCGCATGGTGGTAGATAACAGAATCGATGCGTTTTGCTGCTGCACCGTGCTGGGTTGAGCTGGAAGCCGTGTCGGTTGTATTGGCCAGATACTGCACTGGTAGTTTAACAAGTATGTCAGTTGGTTATTTGGATGTGGATATGGACTCGGGCGTGTTCGAGTGAATGGACGTTGAGTGAGATTTAAGTCGGACTCGTTCAAGAGACAATGTACTCTGCTTGCAAGGTGAAGCTAATTGCAATGACGTTAGTGTAGAATGCTTGAATGGGGTGTTTGAGTTACCTCGAGTGTTAGTGAAGACGTCGTAAGGGCGGTCATGATTTACCTGAGCATGGGCGCGTCCTACCACCTTGGCTTTTGATGCCCTTCCTCAAGACTGCATTGCACAGCATGTTCACGTCCCTTTCCAGCTCGTCGGAGAAGTTCCTGTATCAATGAAGCACCAGTCAGCCTTTGTACCTGTAGTAAGTTACCGACCAAAAAGTACTGGTGCGGATATATTAGCGTTGAGCACTTCGAAATTCAACAGGGAGTGTCCGAGTCGTTCGCACTCCAAGGAGTGATCAGCATTTGCAAACTAAGCCACAAACAGAAATGCACTGTGATATGCCTTGCGTTCCGTAAAATACACTATACATACAAGCTGTTTTTAATGAGCAAGGTGTCTACAATGGACTCGTCACAGTACCGTTCGAAAAGTCAATTTAAAAGCAGAAACACAACCGGCTGCTTCCGTGCTCTCCGGTATTGGTCTTGACCTGCCTTGGTGTGGTCAGCTGTCGCGAATCTGGGTTGGGCGAAGGAGGAGGAGAAACATGATCTTCATCAGGTATCCATTGATCGTCTTTCTGTGGAGCATCTGCTGCAGCGTTCCGCTGTAAATTAATGTGTGAGTACTGGAAAGTGGGGAAAATGGGCTGCATGTACCTCTTTACCCTGCGCAAGTGGAACGTCGACCATAGCTGGCGATGCATGATCTGTCTGAAGGGGCCACCAGGTTGACAGACGGTGTAGGCGGGATTTGAAGGGTGTGGAAGCAAGGGCAGAGGACTGGGTAGTCGGTGGCTGAAACTAAAAAAGGTCAGCCGAATGTGTGATAATGGCAGTCCCAACTCACATTCTCGTGGGGATTTACAAGTGGACGAGGTAAGGGCGCTGTAGCAGAGAACTACAAGGGGACTGCAAGTCAACTGTGAAGAAAACAGGTAGGACAAACATACGTCCAGGAGATTACAAGGTTCATTGGTGCGAATGGGACGAACTGTGTCCATACGAGAAGAAGGGAGGAGTTTGTGTAGAAAGCCGAGGAAAACGGATCGCGGGGGGTCAATTGTATCTGTCAGCGGGCCGGGGGCGGAAGATATGACCGATATTGGTGGTTTACGACGCACAGTATGGCGTGTTGCGTCAGACTGTGATAGAGAATGGAGTGGTGTGGATGAATAAAAGAGCGGGATCACGTACGTTGAGTAGCTTAGCGAGGTGTGAGGATTCAGGACCGCTTGTCTGCAAGAGATTCTAGCGCCTGAATGATGTCGATGAATGGGTGAATACATACCTTTTTTGCAAGTCCGATGCTAGCGAGGATGTTGACTGGAATGTCGCATACGTAGATCTTTGGCTCGTTAAATGTCGTGTAAGCCAGTTGGCATGAGTCGGGTGAGAGTGTAAGGAAATAAGGATCTTGGACGTCGAATGAGGCGAGGAGCTGACGGGACTCGAAGGACCAGAGCTTGATGGTATTGTCGTAGGAAGCACTGGCGAGAAGAACACAATCGGAGGAGAGTGTTAGACCACAGATGCTGCCGGTGTGCCCTTCGAAGGGATCTCTGACAGTCTCGAGCGTGGACGCGTCGAACTCATAGATTGTCTTGGGTCCCTCGATGGTGGAGTCATCCGTGAAGCAGGGTGCGGCTATGATGGATTTGTCTTTCGTTGTCCAAAATAATGGCAGAATTGACCAATGATATACAGGAGCTCCAGATTTTTCTCTAGTGACATCCAATTTCTGTGCTTGGACATCCCACACCTGAAGGCACTCGCCCCAATTTGACATCACTGCCAGTTTCCTCGAGTCTTCCGAGAATCGAAGTACGTTCACAAAATCAAATTTGAATGGACCAGCCACGAGTTTGCCTGTGTCCAAGCACCATATCCACGCTGTCCCATCGGATGACCCACCCGCTAGCAGCGTGCTGTCCGCGGAGATATCAATGCGCCTGATCCAAAGGTCATCCTGAAATATTCTCACGATCCCCGTCTCAACCTCACAGACTTTGAGCACCTCACCAACTGCAGTGACAACCCATCGACCATCCCTTGATACCCCCACTGCAGATATGTATTCCTCGCAAACCTCCCGAGTCTCCTTGATCTCCTCACCCTCCCGCAGGTCCCATCGCCAAATGGTCTTATCGTATGATCCGCTGATCATTTGCTTGCCGTCGGGAAAATAGGCAATGCATGAAACACTTCTGAACTCGTGACGATCACCATTCGGCAAGGTGTAAATGTATGGTTCATGTCCCTCCAGAGTCATCACCGGCGTCAGAACCGATTTGTTTGCTGCCACACCGGGCCGTTTAGAGCTAGAAGCCATGGTAGTTGTATCTGCCAGACACGTTGGCAAGTATGTCGATTATATGGATATGTTCGGTGAGTCCGCCGTCCTTGTATGCTCTAGGACTGTCGTTACCAAGTCTCGAGAGCCGCTGCACTTTCCCTGCTTAGGCCAATCGTCAGTTCATCAGCGCAGGATCCTCAGGTAGGGTATTCACGTCACCAGAATGCTAGCAAGGAGAGGAATGATATCCTGATTGATGGCCACACCTACTACCGTAGCCTCTTTTATGTCGCCCATTCTTCATGGCTGTGTTATACAGCATGTTCTTTTTTTTATCCATCCTTACCTGTCCCTCCACAGCAACATGCTTACTAGATCATGTCATTAATATTCATAGTGCGGTAGAAATCTGATCATTCTATCTTGTTGCCATCTTCAGACACTTGATTCGAATCGCCTCAATTCGCGCATTCCTGGTTAATTGCAGGTTGAGCACCTCGAGGGTAGATCATGGCTTCATCAAATCCATCACAGATGATATCATTCACTAAATTATATGTACTACCTTACATCCTGTGAAAACACATTGATAGATAAGTTCAAATATGTATGTAATGCATCGTACTCGAGTTAATAGGAAGGAACCAATCATTCACGATAACCTGCATAATACCTGCATCAAAAGAACAAAATATCACATCGCATCGAAAAGCGCTTATCATCACCACCGAACTGAAAATCGTCATCCCCCTCATCCTCTACGTCCTCCATCTCAGAATCATCTACATCTTCGTCCACTACGAGATTCCCTCCGTCAATCTCGTCCCCCTCATCCTTATCCTCGTCCTCGTCCCCCTCTTCGTGCGCTTCGACCAATGGGGGCGGACCAGCTTCCTTAGTATTAATAGGAGAAGGCGGATCAGGAGCCGCGTCTTCCCCCATCTCATCGATAAGTTTAAGCCTAGGAAGATAATCACTTTGCCCCTCCTAGCTAAAAGTCGGCACAACTTGATTAGGTGGCTGATCTTTATTCACATGCCGAGGGTGAGATTGAGACGACGGCATAATCAGAATAGGCACCTGAAGATGCTCGTGCTGAGGCGAAGGCGGAATCACTATCATGCACCGGGCAGGGTGAGTGGCCCTGCTTTGCTTTGACGACAGGTACCAGTTGAAAAGATCCCGGTGTCAAATAGTTATGCGGATGTGGACATGGACTCGGATGTGTTCGAGTGAGTGAACGTTGAGTGTAATTCAAGTCAAACTCATTCGAGAGACGATGTGATTTGCTTGCAAGGTAAGCCAATTGCAATAACATCAGTCCGTCAGTGTAGAATGCTCAAATGGTGTGTGCTCGAGTTACCCTGAGAATACCAGCAAAGCGCGATCACAATTCACCTGAGCATGGGCGCGGCCTACTGCCCTGTCTCAAGCTGCATGTCCGCGTTCCTTTCCAGGTCGTCGGAAAAATATCTGCATTGAAGCGCCAGCCAGCCTTTTGTACCTGTAGTAAGTTACCAACCAAAAGGTACTAACACGGATATGTTAGCGCTGAGTACAGAGGAAGTGTCTGAGTCGTTTGCATTCTAAGGAGTGATCAGCATTTGCAAACTAAGCCACAAACAGAAATGCACTGTGATATGTCTTGCGTTCCGTAAAATACACTATACACACAAGTAAATTCCAATTAGCAAGGTGTTCACAATGGACTCGTCATAGTACCGTTCAAAAAGTCAATTTAAAAGCAGAAACACAAATGGTTGTTTCCATGCTTTCCGGTATTGGTTTTGACCTGCCTTGTTGTGGTTGGTTGTCGAGAATCTGGATTAGGCGAAGGAGGAGGAGAAACAAGATCTTCATCAGGTATGCACTGATCGTCTTTGCGTGGAGCATCTGCTGCAGCGTTCCGCTGTAGATGAACGTGTGAGTACTGGAAAGTGGGAAAAATAGGCTGCACGTACCTCTTTACCCTGCGCAAGTGGAACGTCGCTGATAGCTCGCGATGCATGATCTGTCTGAAGGGGCCACCAGGTTGACAGACTGTGTAGGCGGGATTTGAAAGATGTAGAAGCAGGGGCAGAGGATTGGGTGGTCGGTGGTCGAAACTAACAAAATGTCAGCCGAATGTGTGATGATGGCAGTCTCCACTCACGTTCTCGTGGGGATTTATGAGTGGACGAGGCAAAGGCGCAGTAGCAGGAAACTGCAAGGGGATCATTGAGCTGACTGTGAAGACAACAGACGGAAGAGACATACGTCCAAGGGATTACGAGACTCGTTGGTGCAGGTGGGACGAACTGGATCCGTACGAGAAGAAGAGAGAAGTTTGCGTAGAAAGCCGAGAAAAACGGGTTGTGGGTGGTCAATTGTATCTGTTAGCAGGCGGGGAGCAGGAGGTATGACCGATATTGGTGGTTTACGACGCACAGTATGGCGTGTTGCGTCAGACTGTGATAGAGAATGGAGTGGTGTGGATGAGTAAAAGAGCGGGATCACATACGTTGAGCAGTTTAGCGAGGTGTGAGGATTCAGGACCGCCTGTCTGCAAGAGATTCTAGCGCCTGAATGATGTCGATGAACGGGTGAATACATACCTTTTTTGCAAGTCCGATGCTAGCGAGGATGTTGACTGGAATCTCGCATATGTAGATATTAGGCTCATCACGTGTCGTGTAAGCCAGTTGGCATGAGTCGGGTGAGAGTGCAAGGGAATAAGGAGCTTGGACGTCGAATGAGGCGAGGAGCTGACGGGACTCGAAGGACCAGAGCTTGATGGTATTGTCGTAGGAAGCACTGGTAAGAAGGACACAATCGGATGAAAGTGCTAGATCACTGACAACGTCGATGTGCTCTTTGAAGGGATCTCCGATAGTCTCGAGCGTCGACGCGTCAAACTCATAGATTGTGTTGGGCCCCTCGATGGTGGAGTCATCCATGAAGTTGGGTGCAGCTATGATGGATTTGTTTTTGGTTGTCCAAAATACCGGCGGAGTTAGCCAATAAGCATCATAAGCTCCAGATTTTTCTCTAGTGACATCCAATTTCTGTGCTTGGACATCCCACACCTGAAGACGGTTCCCCCAATATGACATCACCGCCAGTTTCCTTGAGTCTTGCGAGATTCGAAGTGCGCCCACATCATCACCACATTTGAATGGACCGGCCACGAGTTTGCCTGTGTCCAAGCTCCATATCCGCGCTGTCCTATCGGATGACCCACCCGCTAGCAGCGTACTGTCCGCGGAGATATCAATGCACCTGATCCAAGGGGTATCCTGAAATATTCTCACGATCCCCGTCTCAACCTCACAGACTTTGGGCACTCGACCTTGTGCCGTGACAACCCATCGACCATCCCTTGATATCCCCACAACATCTACACGTTTCTTGCAAACCTCCCGAACATCCTTGATCTCCTTACCCTCCCGCAGGTCCCATCGCCGAATGGTCTTATCGCGCGATCCGCTGATCATTTGCTTTCCATCGGGAAAATAGGAAATGCATGAAATGTCTTTGAACTCGTAACGATCACCATCGGGCGAGGTTATAATGTATGGTTTATGTCCCTCCAAGGTCATCACCGGTGTCAGAACCGATTTGTTTGCTGCCACACTGGGCCGTTTCGAGCTAGAAGCCATGACGGTTGTATCCGCAGACACGTTGGCAAGTATGTCGATTATTCGGTGAGTCCGACGTCCTTGTATGCTCTAGGACTGACGTTGCCAAGTCTCGAGAGCCGCTGCACCTTCCCTGGTTAGACCAATCGTCAGTTCATCAGCGCAGGATAGGGTATTCACGTCACCAGAATACTAGCAAGGGAGAGGAACGATATCCTGATTGATGGGCCCGCCTACCCGTAACTCTTGTATATCTCCCATTCTTCGTGGCTGTGTGTTGTACAGCATGTTCTTTTTTTATCCTTCCAATCAAACCTAAGTACCTGTCCCACCACCAGCACAGGTTAGTTAGAAATATGATCATTCTCTTTTGCTACCCTCAGATGAAAAACTACGACAATACTTGGTTCAAATGTTCGGTTCATACCCTTTATCCTCAATTGCATTGGCTAGATCAGTTGCAGCAAGGTAAAATTATGGCTCATCATACCATGACAGATGATGTCGTTCACGAAATCAAATGTACTGTGATATATCTTACATTCTGTTACAGCAGTTCGCGAAACTAATGGCACTGGCGTGTTGTGGGAAAATCACGATTGAGATTTGGGACTTGGTTTTTTTTTACCATTCTGTGTTACATAATGCTGCGTCATGTCCCAATAATTGATTTTATATCTGTACTGTGCTATACCATGTTCCTCATAAATCATACAATGGCCAAGGCATTCAAGAGCACTGAATTTGTAGACAACACTGATACAGATGTCATGGAACTGTCCTCAAGCCTCGCCGCACTGAGGAAACTAGATTGAGACAATGAGTATAACCACCTTAGCATGAATGTTGGAGCTCACAACTGAATGTTCTAGAAAGTGTAAGTAACCCTTCCAATGTAATGAACCTTCTATGACGTGGCCAGCAATGACTTCATCAACAGACATAGCTGCAACAGCTGTCAGCCGCCTTCCTTGCACAAAAACGCCTCTCATGCTGGCATGTTTGCACTTCTTTGTCCGGCCATATCTCCAGAATGAGGTACGTTCATCTACTGAAGTCTTGTCAATGAAGCAAAGTTCATTGGGCATGTATCAGGCCATCTGTCACATGTAGTCAGCACGGAGATCTTCATTTTGTTCTTTGGCGATTTTATGGAGCTTTTTGAGGGAAACACCCACACAATGGAGCTCACGGTGGATGGTGGTGTAGTGGAGTGCAATGAAGCGGTTGCATAACATGAGTCGAGTGATCTCGTCAAGAAACCAATCTGGCCAGTGGTGGACCAGTTCCATGAGGTACTGAACATCCTCAAGATTCAGCTTCCTCGGACGACCTGTGAATTCACTCCATGGTTTGACTACATCACTGGTGTGCTGATAGAGCTTTTGGATGCAGAAGAATGTGCGTCTCGAGAAGCCAACGCAATCAAGGATTTCATGAAGACTAAGGATATCTTGCTCATACAGGTGAATGGCAGTGAGTTTGATGTTGGATGAGATCTTTTGGTTGACCATACTAGGTGTACTATTGGTTACTATCATTCTGTTACAGTCCACCATTCCATGAATTTTGTCTACAGCACTCAATGTTAAAGCAATTGCTTAGCTACTTCACTAAGTATATTCTACATACTATCATAGTATGTTCCAAGTGAAAAAAATCAAATCTGTTAAGAAATGATGGAGATTGTGTTTTCAGTGTGACAGCAGCAAAAATCACAGATTGGTGTCACCTGCCGAAGCTGCCGACATTGGACATTGAAATTAACAGTGTGTTTCAATGCAGCTGCAATCCATCACCCATGAGCACTGCACTGAGCTGGGCTCAATCACTATGCCATAAGTTGCCACTGAGGCAAGCTGGCAGCATCTACTGTCCCTGAGTATGAGTTCAGGATCCAGGCTGCACTCGAGGGTGTTACAAATGGCACCTACAAGAATTAAACAGTAGCTGCAAGGGTAAACAAAGTATGATTATTTATCTTTCGAGTTCCTGTGGTGCTAATTTCATTGTACAGGTCATGCAGCAGACTCTTAAAGACTGGAGCAAGGGTCATATGTCTTGCAAGGATTTTTCCCAGTCATGGCAGCTCCTCCAGCAGTCTGAAGAGGAAGCTGTCAAGGACTGGCTGGCTCATGAATCTGGTGCTGCGTGTCCTGTGCACCCTCATGATTTACATGCTCGGGTCAACGAGATTAGTGGAAGGATCCCTGGCAAGCATTGGTGTCAGCAGCTTCAACTTTGAGCCAACCACCAGAACTTCCTGCAACCTCCAGTTCCTCCTAGCCTGGACACTTGCCACCACATTTCATACATCTGCCTTCTCATACTGGTTTCATCATTCCCACACCACATCCACCATATTTTTTTGCTCAACCCCCACATCTGAGTCATGAATTTCACAACACACCTATGTATCACTACCTACATTCACACACATTCCCTCAGCAATATTTTACACAGCATTAATTATTTGCATTTACTAGTTCTATATAATTCTCCGTACATACTATAGCTCACAGACTTGCTAGTAGTATCCTAATTAACTGCTGTTAAAGTTCACAAATCATGAATAACATCTGTCGAGTGGACTGTAAATTTGGCCAGTGTGACTGTCTGTTACTATTCGTGACTTAAGTGTGACTCATGGAATAGTGGACTGTAATGGAATGATAGTAACTGATAGTATTGTTGTCTAATGTGGTGCAATTGTTTGAATTTTGCTCTAAGTCTCAAAACATGTGAAAATTTTCAAAGTCCCAAACCCTTAATTATGATTTTCCCATAACATGCCAGTGCCATTATATATGCACACAGCTGTAAAACACATTCACAAGCAAATTTCAACAAAGCAACACATCAGAGATATATGTAATGCACTGTACTTGAGTTAATAGGAAGGAACCAATCATTCACAATAACCTGCATAATACCTGCATCAAAAGAGCAAAGTGTCAGACCAAGAACTTGCATTGACACAACAAGCACTTACCATCACCACCAAACTGAAAATCATCATCCATCTCATCCTCCATGTCCTCTATCTCAGAATTATCTCTATCTTCCTCTACCACAATATTCCCTCTGTCGATCTTCACCCTCCTCGTCCTCTTCATGCATTTCAGCCAGTGGAGGAGGACCAACTTCCTTGACGTTAATAGGGGAAGGAGGATCAGGAACTGCATCTTCCCCAACCTCATCATCACTAGATTCAATAGGTTCAAGCCCAGGAAGATAACCACCCTGCCCCTCCTCGCCAAAAGTCAGCACAGCCTGAACAGGTGCCTCATCTTGATTCACATGCTGAGGTTGAGGTTGAGGCAACGGCACAAGCTGAATAGGCACCTGAATATCCCTGTGCTGAGGCAGAGGTGGGATCACCATCATGTGCCAGTGCACACTGAGAGGGCCTTGTTTTGCTCTGAAGATGGGTACCAGTTGAAAAATATCCTAGTGTCTGTCATCTGCAGACATGAGATGAATGATAGGTATTGGCTGTGATTGTATTTCGCTACTTGACACACTGGATAGGCCAGGGTAAGGAGGCACCTCCACAGCTGACTTGCTGATTTCAGGGTAGGATACAATAAACAGACCCTTGCGCTGTCATAGCTTTAGTGCTGAGAAACCCATGTGTGGAAGGGGAGACTCACGGTTGTGATCACAGCTTTTTCATTTGATTCTCTGAGGGCTAGATGAATGGGATGTCTTTGGACATTGTCTCAAGAGGTGTTGAAATTGAGCAGGGTTGCTATGTCGTCCAGCATGACCTCACGATGGGAGAGTCACTCAAAGCCCAGGATCCAAATGAAGATCCCTGATGCGGTGAGGACTGCAAGGTCCTTGCCAGAGGAAGATACATGGGCTGCTCACATAGTGAGTAGATGATGTAGATTAATGGGTAGAACTGGCCCGCAACAAAGTTGCTCCAAGATGTGGAAGAGATGTGATATGCTTCATGAAGTTGTTGGGGCTGGAAGAATGATGAAGGGCATGGGTCAACGCTGTGATCTGGAAGCACATCCCAGCTGATGCGCTGCAAATCTTTCATGCACAAGTGATAGACCAAGGCACCACTGCATCTTGCAAAAATGCATAGTTGATTGGACCCACAGAAGAAAGTGTATTGGTCATTGACTTCAACGTAGGTGATAGACCCTAGTATCCCATCTGAATTGGGCGCCTGAATATTGGTGATCATTTCAACAAGACAAGAAGTCGGCACATCCCACAAATAAGTGTTATTCACACCAGCTGAGAGTAACATCAGGTACAAGAAGCAGAATGCACATGTGGGAAATGGCCACAATTTGTTGGGGAGGCATGACACTTAGCAGCTTTGCACAATGCTTTGACCGTGGAACTGTGGGGCTTGAATCTTACAGTATAGGACTGGTCCTTTGCCCACCACATTTTGAAATGCATCCCACTTCATAATAACTCATTTTTTCGAAAATTGTAGTACTGTATCATTTCAACCTTAGGTTCATCACACCATTGCAAGCTTGATGAACCAAACCTATTTTTTGTGACAGTCACAGGGAAATTCAGCCGATGAACATAAAAGTGTGACACTTTGTATTGAGCAATTTTCAAGAAAAATATGATATTAAGCTATGCTACATGTTAGTGCTCCTCAAATGCATCATATTGCTTGTTTGCAACATGTCTATGCTTTCCCCTCCCAAATGTAGTATCAGGGTCAGTAGAAATGGCAACCTCCCCTGTTTGAATGCATCCAGAAGTTGAGATGATAGATGGAGAGGTGGGATGGAGTGTTGGAAGAAGCTGCTAGTGAAATTGGAGGTGTTGCATTCAACAGAGGAGAAAAACTTGCAGATATCAAGTTCACCAAGCACAGGATCAAAATCAGGAAGAGTTGTAGAGTCAACAAGAGCTTGGACAGGCAGGCTTGGGAGTGGAATGAAACAGGCAAAGCAAGGGGGTGGTTTGAGGAGCTGATCTTTCTGTTCCTCTGAAATGATGCTTGTAGAAATATCAATGACCTGTAGACTTGTGGGCAGATCTGAAGCAGGGTTGCTGTGAGGAAACATGATGGGTGACATCTAAGACACAAACTGTGGGACACTTACCTAGAAACAAACTGGAATGTGGCTAACTATTGGCTGTCAAAAGAGCAGTCTTCAAGCCAACACAGAAGTAGTGTGAATCCAAGATTATCCATGTCACAGAGGCATTGCCACCAGAGCAGACATTTGACACAATTGACAAACCTAAATTAGGTTTGTCACATGTCACAATGGTCAATGAACATGCTACAAATGATTACATAAGGTTGTGGAGATTTTCCCACAAACATAAGGTCAAAATGATACAGTAGACAGTAATATTCCAATGCACATGTAAATACTACAATAAATTTTTGAGAGCTATCAATGACAATGTTAGTGTGTTGTAGCAAGATCATTGAAAACAACATTATTTTTGACTTTACTAGTCCTTTGCCCACCTTGATTTAGATGTCACATCATGCAATGCCATAAATTGATAATCCAAAAGGCAATGATTAGATTAAACACACTGTAACAATCATGTTCAGGCTGGGCTGCTAGGACCCCATTCTGCAATCCCCACTCAGTCTGCACATCTCCTACCCATCTCCAATGCTTTCCCACCATCTCCACATCTCCAATGCATTGGACCCACTTGGAGATCCTGCACACTTGCCCTATCATGTCCAGTCCAGTCCTGCTTAACCCCACTGGTGCATAGTCAGTTGATTCCCATTACTGATTGAGTAGACAGTGTTATTACATGGATTCCCACTAGCTGCAGTACCTCATGGCCTTTTACCTACATATTATCAGACCTGTGTTTCTGCTACTGCTTTTGCCTATGGACTCCAGATTTTCATGTAGTTAGTTATATAGGGTTTGGCAACCAGAATTACAATCACCACTTAGTAGGAGAGAGAAATCCCTAATACTAGGTCACCCCATGCCTGTCCTTAGAGTTACCCTTGCCAATATACCTGTTTACCCACTGTGACGATCATACCAGCACTAGGCACGTATGTTACAAACTAGGATGGTTGTAACAACAGCAGCTCAATAAGAGCAACAGCTGAAGTTATAATTGGAACTTTGCAAATGCAAGGTTCATAAGATAAAACAAAGAGAGTGTCTCTGCTTTGAATATCGGTTCAGACAACTTAAGATTGGAGGTCTTAAGCGAAGGAATATTGAGGTGAAAACCTAGTAAGATTAAAGTAGGAACTACTAAGTACATTGTTGACTATATATAAGACATAGGTGATTCAGGGCAGGCATGAGTCAACAATGAGTCAGAGATAAGAAATGAGTCAAAGATAAGGAACGAGTCATCTAGCAACAGCTGTGGCGATTGTGATGTAATACAAATATAGAAGATAAGTCTAGCAATGGCATCATGCAGGTCATGACGTAATACAAGTATGATAAGGAAAATGAATAGGAGCATATGTGACTGTAACAGCATATGATCACTGGCATGGTTCTTCTCACTCCCAGGAAAGGAGATAAAGCACTGATCATTAAATCCATATATATTGACTCATCTGCTTTTAGTATGCTCCTTGACAATGGGTGCACACTCCTCCTGCAACCTACACTCCCATTTAGCTTTGGTCTAGTCCTAGGAATCTGTCCTCCCATGTCCTATCCATGTCCACCTATCTCTGCTGGTGTGTTATTTTTCCCAAATATCATTGCTAAACAAGCTGCAGGTCTTATTACACGTTACTCATGTCCTGCAGCACATGATGTCTTATTACCTATAGACTCATTGCATGCTTGCTTACTATGCTACAATTCTCACCTATGCATTCTGGACCTTCATGTGCTATAATAAAATGACTGCAGTACATATGATTGAGTAGTTCCCTTCCCCCCAGACTCAGCTCTATAGGAGAGCCATTCTTGTGTTATTTTGTAGACCTTGTGCAATCCATTCTGTTTGCTCATACTAAACAATCTTGTGCAATTCGACTGCTCTGAAGTTCCATACCACTAGGACCTTATACTTAGGCTCTTGAACACCTGACCTGTGACCAGTAACGTAGTGTGGTCCTTATCTCATGCTATCTCTCTTGCATCCAGCTGCTCTATTGAGTGTGGTTGATTTCGTGTGTGTTATATCTACTGCACCAGTATCTGGCATTCACTGCACTTGCATGTATCCCCTAGTATTCATCTCGTGCTTGCAATACTAACACTGGTCGATTTTTGCCTGCACTCACAGTTGATTCTTTGACATAGGAATTTGAAGGTATACATACATCCAACACTCTAGTTTCCTAGGCTGCTATAGATTTTAACTCCTTCGCTCACTTGCTTTCCTTGCATATATTTGAAGGAAGTGCTTCAATAGCAGTCCTCTTGGGCCAATCTACTGACTTGTGCCTCTTAGGATAAGTAGTGCTAGTTGCTAACAGCCTAGTACCTATTTCTTCTTCACACCACTCTCCTTGACCTGACACGAGCGTCACTCATTCATCTGACATTCCCTAGCATCTCCAAGCTAGTCCTGATGCATTCCCTTCCTTTCCCTCACTCTCCCACTATCTCTGCATCTCTGCACCTGTGGACCCAATTTCCCATGCATTGGACTTTGTCCCATACCTTTGGACTTTTGACCCCTTGTGTAGTACTGACTATTGAACTTGACTAGACAGCAGATCCCTTGGGTTGAATGTTCTTGCTTGCAAGTGTAGCAGCTAGGCAGGACTAGTAGACATATATGTATTGGCCAGGTATCCCAACAACTATCTAGCCAAGTTGTGTTTATCCACAATGCTTGTGAGATTAATCCTTTTCTTCCCCATCATCTTCTTGCTTGCTCTCATAAACTTCAGGTTGAGCTCACTCAGCCTTGACACAGGTTTCTCGATTGCCCCCATCTTTGGTTTGTTCCACTGTGGCTGTTATGAACTGTTATGGACTAGGATAGTTGCAACAATAGCAGCTTGATAAGAGTGACAGCTAGAGTTGGTTCAAGACCTTACAAATGTAAGGGTTGTAAGACAAGGCAAGGAGAGTGTCCTTGACTTGAATATTGATGCTCAGACAACTTAAGATTGGGGGTCTTAAGCGAAGGAGGTTCCAGGTAAAACCTAGTAAGATTTAAGTGTAGAACTACAGCATACCAAGTAGACTATATATAGTGAACTGGGTACTTTAGGGTAGGTGTGGGATAAGAGATGAGTCAGAGATAGTAAGAATAGACCACCTAGCAATGGCGATAGCAATCATGGTGTAATACAACATGAGTCAGAGATAAGACGAGGTGGAGATAAGTCTAGCAGTGGTGATATGCAGCATGTGACATAATACAAGTAGAGTGAAGAGAAAATGAATAGGGGCGTACATGACTGTAACATTACCCCTTGTTTAGTGACAAAGTCACTGACTTTAGTCATCTTGATTGGCCCAGTAGACAGGGTCAGCATCATAGTTAGAATCTAGCAGATCATCCTGCTCTTCAGTAATGGATGATTGACCAGCAATCATATTGTTATTCCTCTTCAAATCCTCAGTGATTTCTTCAGTGCAATAGATAGCATCCTGCTTGGCTATCAGATTGTGCAAGTACCAACAAGCAGGATTGCACTGGTCCATAATGTTCATAGCTTCGTAAAAACACAGATTAGTCCAGATCAACAGGATGACTGCTTCACCTTTCAAGTCTTTACAAAAGACAGATAAATGGCCAGGTGCATATGCTTTGCAAACCTGGCAATAATAGTTAGGGCATTTCTTATAGTGATGACCGGTGTCTTAATAACCAAGGGTCTTATATAAATGTGTGTAAAATGTAATGACACCACAATTACACTAGGATAAGACTTCTTGCCAGTCCTTGATTAACACAGTCTACGACTTTTCTTCTTTTGTGGTAGATAATGTGTGAGTTCTTGGGAGGCTTGCTAAACCAATCAATGTGATTAACTTAGCTGGAGCTTTTGTGTTTTATCCCAACTTATAAACTTGTCTAGGATAAACCATCTAGACACTGGAACGTAGTTCCTCATTAAGATAATTCTCTGTGGAGACTACAGTCTCAAATACAAATACATTGACCAAAGACTGGTTGGTCAAATAGGCACAAAGTGGTGAGAAACTGGTCTCACAAATGAACAGATTGACCAAAGCTCATGTTGGTCAATATCAGAAAACTAGGTGATAAGCTGGTCTCAAATAAACTAAGTTTCTATTGTAAGAAACTTATGTAATCTCAAGGGAATGTCTTTTCCTTGCA